CAATGTAAGGATGGATATCCAATGCATCATATGGATGAAGTTTCAGTTGAATCAATAGATGGAACACAAATTACACATCTCAAGATCAATGATGGTACTATCTATCTAAATGTTACATATTTTTGTTAGTTGTTGCTTTGGGTTTGTTACTCAGATACTCAAACTTTCTTATATTATTATTTAAAGTTTGTTATTATTACTTAAACTTATGTAATATGATTATAAAGGTTCATATTTATGGCTTCTATTTGTTATGTGAGATTTAAAGTATGTTATTTATAGATTTTATTTTTTTATTTGGCAGACAATATTTGTTGGTTTGTTTGTTATGCATGGATTATATATATGAATGTTATTGCATGCAAAATTATCAATTTTAATATTACTAATCTTTTCAATATAAACAGGATTTAAAGCGAGAGTATTTGAAACACCGAATGATGCTTTCATGTCCTACACCAATTATGCACATTTGAAAGGCTTTTCGGTGCGAATAAACTATCAAAAAAAAGGAGAAGGTGATCAAATTTTTTATATACAGTACAGTTGCAATAAGGCAGGATTCAAGTCTTCATCAACAAAACAAGCATCTAGCCAAAGAAATATACCTGTTACTCGAACTGGATGTCCCGCAAAGATAAAATTGCAGTATAATAAAGAAGATGACACATATGTTGTCACGCATTTTGAGGATGAGCATAATCATGCTATGCACTATTCTAAACATAAGCATTTGCTGAAGTTAAATAGGAAAATTGAGGAATGACATAAGCTAATAGCTCAAATAAATGAGGATGTGGGTTTACCATTAAGGGCTTCATATGATATGATGCAACGGGCAGCTGGGTCATCAAAGTTAGTGGACTTTACTAAATTGGACTTGAAAAATTATTTACGTACAAGAAGAAGTAGCATATTAGAGCATGGTAAGACTAATTTATTTATTTTTGTTATGTAATATATTTATTTTATTGGTTAATGCTTTGAATTTTTATTAATAGGTGAGGCTGATGCAATTTTGAAGTAGTTTAGTCAACAATCTCTTCCGAAGCCATATTTCTATTATGAATATGCATTGGACAATGAGGAAAAAATTACAAACATATTTTGGTATGATGTTCAAATGAGAATGGACTATTCAATATTTGGAGATTCGGTTACATTTGACACCACGTATGGGACAAATAAAAGCTACAGGCCTTTAGGTTATATCTTTAACATGTGCTTATTTTCATTCACTTTACTATTTTATATAACAATTATACTGATTTTCTTTGGTCAATTCAGCTGTGTTTGTTGGATTCAACCACCATTGCAAAAGTTGTATATTTGGAGCTGCACTTCTATTGAATGAAATACAATTATCATTTGAATGGTTATTCAATACCTTTATTAAATGCATGGGGAACAAGTATCCAAAAACAATTTTTACTGACCAAGATAGAGTAATATCTTCAGCCATAGCTCAGACAATGCCATGCACGTATCATACACTTTGCACTTGGCATATATTGGAGAATGCTAAAAAAACTTGAGTAAAGCATACACAAGGTAATATTTATGATCGTTTTAGATATATATTTCAATGTTATCAAGTTTGTTGTCTGATAATATTACATAGTAGATATGACATCATGTTATATACTAACACTATATTTTTTGCTTAATTGTAGTTTTGCAAGGTTTTTCCACAAGCTAATATATTGTGTCAACAATGAGCAAGAGTTTGATCTTGAATGGTCTTTAATGCTATCAGCATGCTTTCCAAATGGGGCTCATAAATGGATATCTTCAATACATACACTAAGGCATAAATGGTGTTCTGCATGGATGATGCAACAATTCACAGCAGGAATGAGAACTACCCAACTTAGTGAATCAGTAAATGGGATTGTAAAAAAGTATTTGCAACCGGACCACAATTTACTACAATTTTTCAGTCATTTTGAAAGGGTGGTTGATAGCCGAAGAAATGAAAAAGCGCTGCATGACTTCTATGCTTGTGACCGTCAACAGGCAACAAATTTTTCATACAATAAGATGGTTACATCAGTTGCTGTTTGTTACACACCATCAGTGTTCAAGATCTTTTATGACGAGTACAACAAATCTTTTGCATATATTACAAAAGTTGTGACAAATGCAGATTTTCAAACTGATGTTCAGCACTATGTTGTCCAGAAAACAAATTCAGATCAATATGAAGATAAGGTGCATAATGTCATCGTGGACTTTGGTCAACAACTAATACATTGTGACTGCAATATGTTCATCAATATAGGAATCTTATGCTGCCATGCATTAAGAGTGATGGATGTTAATAATGTTATGGGTTTGGAAAGTTTTGGGTTATCCCAAACCATTATATCTTGAAAGATGGACTAAAGATGCAAAGAAAGATGTTTGCTTAGATTTATCAATTTCTGATCATCAAAGTGAGGGAGAGGATTATAATGTAAGATACAAAAATTTGTGTTTGATGATGGTAAGTACAGCTGGAACAATAAGTAAGGAGAAGAAATTGTATGATAATTTTGTCTATGAGTTCCACCGAATGGTAAAAAATGTTGTCCAATCAACAAATAACACCATCAATTATGTTGATCAAGTGATTACAGAAGATGGTTTGGAAAAGAGAAAAAGAATTAGTAATGCAGTTTCTTCGAAAGGCAGAAAGAGGTTAGTGTCAATATCAAAACAAGCTCGAGACATAAAAAAAAGGCTAAATTGAAGAAACTGAATGGATCCACAAGTGGCACGAAAGAGTTAGAGTTGTTTCTATCCAGTGAAAACAAAAATTGAGTGTTTGTATGTATAAATAGAAGTGCATTTGATTTTATATTTTTTACTTTATTTTATATATATATGAAAAATAATTATGTTTAACAATTTTTTGATATTTTTATAGGTTTGCATCTTCGTAGGAGTGATGAGGAGGTGGAAGATGCTGTTTATATGTGGCAGACTTATTTGACTGAATGAATGAATGAATGATTGTGGGTTATAAAGGTTTGTTTTGTGTTTGTTAATTGATAATTTAAATATTCTAAATACTTATAAAGGTTTGTTATTTGTGGCTTGGATAGAATTTATTTGCAAGACTATGAAGAAGTTGATGACTTGAAGCAGTGGGAGAAGCCAATTTGATATTCACTCAAATATGCATCACTAAATATAAATGGAAGTATATTTGATGTTTATGCTTTTGTCTTTATTTTACTTCTTTAATATTTTAAAAGTTATTATGATTGATAATTTGATGTTGTTTTTTTTTTTTTACAGGATTGGACCTTCATATTTCTTGGGTTTGATGCGTACAATGGGTTTAGAATTTAGAAATAAATGATTTTTAAAAATCTGTTATGAATCTTTCTGTTTTGTTTTTTTTTTTGGTTCCATCTTATGGTTTTTCTTTACAGTTTCATAACCTTATTTGTGAATATAATATCTGGTTATCCTTTCAGTTCTTGATTTTTTTACTTTGATTTGTGAATAAAAACATAAGTTTTATGTATACTTGGAGTGATTTATGTTTCTTTTTTTTTAAAAAAAAGTTTTACTCGATTTTGATTGTTGTTGTGTTCATCTTGGATCTAGATAACTAAATGGTGCAAATTTGAAAAGGTGCATTGTCTGAATATTCAAAGTTACAAAGAAATTTGTAACTTTGTTATTTGTTATTTTCTATTCAATATTTTGTTACGAATCGAGGATCATGAAGGGACCAGGAAGGAGAGCTCCTGAGAACTGATCAAAGAGTGGTTCAGATTACAGATAAGCAGCAACATATAGTAGTTCCAACAGCAGCATCCAGGGACTAGCCAAGAGGCAGGATTTGAGGCTCCTCCTTGGCTGCCCTAAGTTATGTTGTTCAGTTTGTTATCATGCCAAAATCTATGCATTGCAGTTGTTAATATGTACTCTGAAGCTATGTTTATTGTTGCAAGATTATTCATGGTGAAAGCAGCTACTTGATCCACACTGTTATTTAATTCAATTCACTTTTTGGTAATGTGAATTGGATTTGAGTTCTTTGGTTTGGTGTAGGGTAAAAAATAAACCATTTGTAGTTTCGAAAACTAGCAGCTGATTGGTTTATTTGATCTTCACCGTGTTTGAAGTTCTGAAAGAATTTGATTGAAGCTTTGTGGGGGTAATTGATTTGTGAGGTGTGGAGTCCAGCCATGCTTGCATCTCCTGCGATGAAGATTTCTCATCGTTATTTGGTAATTTGGGACAGACTTAACCTGCATTTATTTTGAGTTGTGTAATAATAACAAAACAGCGGCGACCCTTTCAATTTGTTGGCTGTAATTTTTTTACAGATTAATGGACTTTACGGTCTGCTCGATGTGGACTACGATGGGCGAATCAGCAAGAACTACTTATTCTCGTGACTGAGAAGATACCCGCTTCTTGTAGCTCTCTTCACTCCTAAATTACTGTCGGAGTTTGGAAAGCGGGATTCGATTGTTGGAAAAGGATGATGATCTTACTCTATTTAATAAGGCACAAAACAAGGAAATGGGGAGTTTCTTGCTTCAGCAGAACGACAATTTTGATGATATTTTCTGTAAAGCCTCACAATTTATGATCTTTTTTGAACTTAATTGCTTTATGTGTGCTTTGTGTGTTGCTTAAGTTTCTGGTGCATGTCTTGTTTTTTTTATTCACACATTTGAACCTGTTCTTGTGGAGAAGGAAATCAATATATAAAATATATATATATGATGGCAGATGTTGCCGAAAATGTGGTCCCTCGAGCTCGTCGTCGCTGGAAATATATATATATACAAATATTGTCTTGCCTTAACCATTAAACAACATAAAAATCAAAATTAATATGTGGGGTTTAGATTGTTATCAACATTTCCTTCCATGTTACCAACATAAGAAATTACAAGCTACAAACTAGGACACACACACAACAAGGTTTGAATTTCTTCGTGCGACTAACTCCCGGGAGTGAATGAGATCTAAAGCAACAGTGGATGAGGTATCTAATCCGAATCCATCTTTGCCACCCAATTCATGTAAGAATCGCCGCTTGCCCGAGAACCTATCCTCGGTGCCCCGAATTTATTTTCAACCTGTCGAAGAAGAGTCAAATTATTGCACAATTTAAACTTAAGGTTGATCGAGACCAGAGCTTACGATGCACGAACCTGAGATATAATAACAAGCCCCCTGTGAAGCAAACAGATTTCACCTATTAACACGCTGACTGATCTTGCACCCTTGACGGTGACGACAACACCGTCGGCTAATATCACTTTCTTCATCACACCAGCGTCGACATCATTCTGTGGACAATTTTCTAAATTAGAAATATCATCAGTCTACATTATCAGATCATAATACTGAAAAAGAGTAATTGGCACAATGTACAGTTTGATAAGAAGGATCAAGAACAGATCATTGAAGAAGTTGCTGATTGTTGTTTAAAAATTTGGTGTTTTTGATTTCCGTTTGTAGAAGTCTAACTTCAAAGTTGATTCACAATACGAACTGTAGAAAATTTGATTCCATTTTGCAGAAAATAGAAGGATTAGCAGAGAGAAGAAACTTACAGGTAAGGAGATTCTCATGTCCTTGGCATCTTGAATCCAAAGCTCCATAGGACCTGCCAATTGAAAAGGTGCAAGAACAGACATCTGATCATCTACTTGTTTTCTCTCTACCAATCCATTTTTATTGCTTTGCTTGATAGGATCCTCTGTTTGGAAAATAGGCAAATCGACATACTCCCAACGCTTTATATCTTCCCGGAGCTTGAATGGCATGACTTTGTTATCAATCTCAACATCAAATTCATATGCTGCTGATTTCCCCACCTGAGCATCTCTCAAATCGAAGCCTGATATCTTAAAATCATTTGTTTGCAATCGTAATCCCTTCACAATCGCTTCCTTCAGATCCTTTAAACGCAGACATACAGAACAACATATTAAAATCCAGTTCAGATTAAAACCTAGGGTGGAGCAGCATTCATCGCGCATAAACACCAAAAATTGATACGTTATAAGATCTTCCCTTCATAGGAATTCAATAGCGCTGTGAAATTAACAAACAAAATCCCCAAAATTAGCAAACAGATTTTCACCTATTAATACGCTGACGATTTTCTGTAGAAACTACTCCATTTCCGCCTATTCTCCATTGCCTCGAACACATTCAAGCAATCCTGGTTTATTGGCAATCAGCAATCACGATCTGATGAAAGGCTGGTTGTTCTGCTGCTAATGCTGCCACAACTTTCTCATCACCATCATATGCGTTCTCAGCAATTCTTTCTTCAGTTGCGGCTCCATCAGGCACATTCTCAGTTACACACCATCCCAAATTACAATATATCAATTTATAATAATAGTAATACAATATATCACAATTAGAAACAACTAATACAACTTGTCCACTTAAAAAATAACCAGTATAAACTACAAAAGGTTGAAAATTCGTCTAAATATATTCTCTTTACAGTTTCGTTTCCTCACATGTTTATTTTGTTCATTGTAAATTCTTAACTTGTCCAATTGATTAGATTTCTTTTCATTAGCATCTTGCAAAAGTAACTCGCACATACCTTTGCTCTTTTTGCATTCAAGAACGGGTATCTGGCTGTGGGATATTACTAGGAAAAACAACTTCAAAACTTCCTTTGCACCTGTAATACGCAACAAGGATTGGTATTTCGTTATAAAAAATTCTTAAGAAAAATATATTCAAGACTTCCATTCCTACCTGTCATTAGCTGAATGATGTCGAACAATGGTCCTAAAATAATACCACAACACTTTCATTGTTGGTTTGTCTGTAATCCAACCTTCTTTGGGGTTAAGTGAATTGAAATACCAAATTTTATGTCTTGGTATATCAATACAAAAGAGCACCCAATATTCATGTCGGCAGTAAGGGAAGAAAAACTAAAAAAATCAATAAATAAACAAAAATAAGCCATTGAAGATCAACCAAAATAAAAAAAGTCACTTTCAGATCAATGAATGACACTTCAGCACCATATCTAAGTAACATAAACTAGTTTTGTTAACGAAATAACATATCAACAACAAACCAAACTATCGGATAACAAAGCTGTTAGGTCAAATATCAAATTATACAACATTTTCCACAATTTCAGATTAATGAATGACATCTCAACATCATATTTTAGTAATGCAAACTAGTTCTGTTAACAAAGTAACTTATCGACAACAAACCAATACTTTCAAATAACAAAACTATTATATCAAATGTCAAATAACAAAACATTCTATATAAAATAAATACAATCTCGTTTACTTACATAATCAGCTGAAAATGCACACTTCCAATTTTTTCCAAGATAATTTTTTTTGAAGTACGGAGTCCATGATGAAATGATTGCCTCTTTATCCGGCACTGGACGTTTATTTTGTACTTCATGTAGTGTAATTGACTGTTGATAATTAAAATATAAATATGTCAATAAAAAGAAACATATAGTAATATAAATTATAAATATATCAAACTAAATAATTCATACCGCCAATATACTTGGAAAGAAAAAACGAGTCGTTGGCTTCTTATCTGTGTTTGCCCTTTCAAATTTTCTCCGATTAAGAAAATGAGCATAACAATCAATTTCAGTGTCTATAATATATCGCTCTGGTGCTAAGCTTTGTATTTCTTCGATCCGCATGTAGCTATTTCCATCATATACAATTGTTTAGTAAGATGACAAGCTTTTTGGACACTTTTAACAGCAAGATAATATGGTGATCTAAACACCCTTGAAGCAATAAATTGCCTTTGCTGCCTTGTGTCGATTGGCGATTCAACACCCTAAACAAAAAATAATAAGAATAATAATAAATATCATTGCATAATGAAAAAATATATATTATAAACATGCAAAATCACATACAATGTAGTCTTCTTCATCAAAGTTTTGATTCTTAAATTGAAGTCTAAGTTGCTCTTCAGTAGCACTAAATGGACCAAGAGTAGCAGCTACAACATCCTCTTGACATTCATTGTATGTCTAGAAAAAAAGAAAACTGTTATGAAAAACATTCTAAAATATACTACAAAGTAGTGCAATCATATATAATGCATCACCTTTTCATTTTCGAGTGTAGGATCAACAATGTTTTTTTCACCAGACGATTGACTCAACCCCAATGAAAAACTTGGTCCAGCAAAATTCTAGAAAATAAACAATACATAATATCAACAAACAATATTTACATAATAACAAAATACAACCTTATATTTGTTCATTTACCATATTGTTCATAGGAATCTCCATGTCACCCATTGAAGATAGAACAACAGTTTTTTCGCAAGGAATCTACAAATATATTGGATGGTCAGTAATTATTATTCCACATAACAGACTTCTTGTTCCATATAACAAACCTAAAAATACAACTAATAATAATATCAAAACTAATAAACAAATATCACAAATCAGATAACAAATTATATTTACACAATAACAAAATACAACAAAAAATTATATTTTCTCATTTACCATATCCATAGGAATCTCCATATCATCTGTTGAATATAGAATATACAACAAATGATTTTGGAGCAAATGATCGTTCTTAAATATCATAGTTTCAAAAAATAGTGCATAATATACCTTATCGGACATCAAATAATAGTATCTCAGCCCTAATTAATAAATTTTAATTATATAAAAAAAAACCTAAATATCATATAACGAACTTATTATTCCATATAACAGACTTATTGTTCCACATAACAAACCTAAAAATACAACTAATAACAATATCAAAACTAATAAACAAATATCACAAATTAGATAACAAAACCTCATTGTGGGTTGAACTATCTGTATCAGTGGATGCCTCATCAACTGTAGCTTTGCAAGGAGTCTACAAATTAAATATTATCAATATATAAAAAATCAGTAAGTATATAAAAAAATAAATAATATAATATCAAATTTCATTCAATATAAATTACCTTTTCCGCATGATCATCTTTTTGTTGATTTTTCTTAGCCAATGCTTCATTCTCCAATATACCAGCAACAAGAGAATACAATTCATCCTCAGTTTCTACAATCTCTTGTCTAACAGCTAAAAGTTCCTCATTTAATTCATTTGCTTCACATTTTAAGGTATCCAACTTCAAAATCAATGCTTCTTTCTTGCGCTCATAGGCTTGTTTTGAATTTTCCACATTATCCCATGAGTGAAAAACACTTTCATTTTCCTTAAAAATAAAAATAATATATTAGTTCTTAACATAGTAGAACCCCTATCTTTTAATTTTCTACTACAAAAATATATACTTAGACTTCATATGACAGAGAAAAAACAATAATGTTTTCTACACAAAATCAGCTCAAATAAACTTCAGGTATTAAATGTAAGGAATCAAAAAACCTTCTACTCTTACATGCTGGGAAACAAGATGCCTATTTAGATATACCATTTGGAATTTTACAAGTCCATCACCGTATATATAATATGTAACATATACTTTACAATATAATATGTAACACATACCTTATTTTCCTCAGCTAATTTATTTTGAGTTTCATTTGGAAGCTCCCCAAAACGTTGAGTCACATCAGCCAAGCGTATGTGTCTCTTAAAAGAGCAAGTAAAGCTCCTAGTCCCCAAATTTTTACGATCGATTAGATCGTAAAATAAATGCTGAAAATAACAAAAAGATTAGAGAAAAATACAAAAATATGTATGTACATACTATATTTACACATTTCAAACACTTACCATAAGACAATGCATATCTCCTGTCGGTCTACAAGTCGGTTTTTTGTTATCCACCAATTTACACTTAAAATTATGAATTGAATAAACTAATTTGTCTTTTATAATAGCAGCCCCAATTATATCTTAAAGCATCCTCAGGAGATACAAGGAACCTCAAGAATTGATTATTGATACATGGAGATGTTGATGGAATTAATAACATCGACAAAGAATATAGGACATAAAATCTCCAAAAGTCAACAGGACGGTGCAATCTAGAAGATTGTAATATCTCTGATAACCAACAATTTTGGACTACCGTCGAATTTCTTGTATCAAGCTCAAAGCATTGGCTAATTTCATGAATTTCACTATAATAGTTTGAAGGCTTTCCTAAAGATATGATACTTTTACCAATCCATGCGGAAGTCCATATACTCGAGCAACTTCATCATCGGTAATATGCCATTCCGTCCCATCTAAGAAAACAAAATACTTTTTCTCGGTGTCCCAATTTCTCATCAACTGAAGCAGTGGCTTACTATTTTTTTTCCTAACATATATAAGACCCTCAAAACACGACTTCTCAATATAGGATCTAAACACTTCCTTATTTTCAGAATCTAGCAGCTTATTCAATTTTGCTATTTTACTCGGGATGGAATACATCTGAACATGTTTAGCCATTTCTCCCCTGTAAAAATACAAAATTAAACATTACACAATCAATAGAAATATATCACAATTCAAAAAATACAATACCATTATGTATGTGGCTTTTCACTACCATTAAGATGAAATTGTAAAGCTAGAAATGAAATAAGATGAAGTACTTAAGTGAGAAATAAGAAAGTTAGATCTCAGTGCCGAGAAAACCAGGTAAGCTGTGAACTTAAACTTTGCAAAATAGTATACTGTTGTTACAAGGCCGAATTTCATGTTTTAATTTACATGGATTGCGTGAGGAACAAATAGTCGTGGAACTTTGAAATTGGATTTGCTTAACTTGCTACTTGTTATGCCGAGATACTAATTTTCAAGCTGCACTTGAAATTGTTTGATTCTTGGAACTCTGTTTTTCTCGGTTTTTTATTTCTTGCTTCAACTATTCCCCGAGAATAGCAGCAGAGACCCACCCCAGCTGCCCAACAACGAAGAAAAGCTGAGGCTTGGTAGTCAAGCCTGGCCTGGTCTTGTTCAACTACAGCCGAGAGAATCATTTCATGATTTTATGGCCCCAGCACCCTACCAAGGACAATCGTTCGCCAGACAGAGGATGATGCTCGCAAGAGCTGCACGGGGGCCATAAAATCATGAAATGCTTCTCTCGGCTGTAGTTGAACAAGACCAGGCCAGGCTTGACTATCGAGCCTTAGCTTTTCTTTGTTGTTGGGCAGCTGGGGTGGGTCTCCGCTGCTATTCTCTGGGAATAGCTGAAGCAAGAAATAACAAACCGAGAAAAACAAAGTTTCAACAATCAAACAATTTCAAGTGCAGCTCGAAAATTACTATCTCGGCATAACAAGTAGCAAGTTAAGCAAATCCAATTTCAAAGTTCCACGACTATTTGTTCCTCGCGCAATCCATGTAAATTAAAACGTGAAATTCGGCCTTGTAACAGTATACTATTTTGCAAAGTTTTAGTTCACAGCGTACCTGAAAGTATGTGTTCCTGGAAGTGTTGTCTGATGCTGGCTCAGATTCTATGATTGATTTCCCCTTGTCTACAATAGCAACAATTGATTTTCCCTTGTTGAGTTGTTGTCGCGACAGCATCATCATCCTGTTTTTTATGATGAGTTTTTAATCTAATAATTAGTTGGTTTTCAATCCCATCAAATGCTTGGATAAAAACACCAATCAAAACATCAATGATGAATATCAGTAATCAGTATTACTGCTAAGAACACAAAAATATGCACAAAACATGAATCTTGAACAGCAAAAATTTCTGACTAATTGTCCATCATTGAACGATACCAGTACCACCCAATAGTAATGTCCAGTATCAAAATTGAATACTTAATGAACGCTACCTGAATAATGAACCTGTATCCATACACCATACACCCGAATACCAACTTCTTGCAACACAACAAACTAACTACATTTTTACTTTCTTGTAGATGTCTTTTGTTGTCATGAATTCATAAAGATGTGCAGACTCCAGTTAGCTTTGCAATGAACTCACATCACATGCTGCTACCATTAGTCCTGTCATGTTATATGCAGTTTCCCCAACTACCTATGTCCCATGCTCCTCTGTTTCTGGTGTTATCTTAAATGGATTTGTACTCAAACCAACCCAGTAATGGGAAACCCAACGCTCCGATGCCCTAATTCATCAATGGGTTGAACTTATACACACACATATCATATGTAACCACATATACGACTTCTTGTATCACACTACACGTAAAAGAAGACCAAAAATAAAAAGGAAAAAAGGCATCCCTTCTACATTATAGCTCCAACAACCCTAACGTAAAAATACGCAGCTATACTCGCTACTTCTTCCCTAAAGATACATTATACAAACTTAGTTTGCAAATTTTCTTAAGATTGAAACACATTAGAAAACACAATAAACACATTATACAAATTACACAACCTGAGTTTGAGTGAGAAATCTGAATCGAAGTGTTGGAGTTCGCTGCAAAAAGATTCTGAATCAAATGTCTATGGCACAAAACAAGATTAGATTGAGAGTTTGATGTTGGATTTGCACCAGAGAACTCGCCGGTGGTTGACAGAATCTGAATGACGAGAGAATCGCTCGATTCAGCGCAGGGCAAGAATCAATTCAGCAAAGAAGAAAGCAATTTAATGAAAAGACAAAAATACCCTTGATTAATTACGGTCGTCAGATTATAATGAATGGTGAAGATTTCATTCAGCATTGCTGAATTATGTTATACCATCAGCACATGATCCTTCCCCTTATTCTAATGGAAAAGAGGTTACCATTAATTATTGGAGGTCTTCACTTATCTTATACAAACTTATATATCAGTTGGCAAGTAAAATTATTACATCCTTTGTTTTTCACATGTTGGCTACAATTTTATAAATATAAATGCTATAAAAGATTGTTTTCCTATGTTCCTAGGTGATATTGACATGTACCTAGAGATTTCAATATGAAATCGGAAGCCTTTTAAGAAAGAAGACATATTCTTGTACCAATGCACAAAGTGATTTTAAATCCACACCATAAGTGCAATGCATACTCTTGCCTTTCCTTTTCCAGTTATTAGATGATCACATGTAATAAACTCATTATTTCTTATAGCAACCGGTCTGTACTTCAGCGGACGAAAGGCAACTCTTGGAATCTTCTAAAATAGCTCAAGGTAAGGGAAAACTTGAAGAAGCTATCAGCTATGGAACAAAGGTAATTCACAGGCAATGTTGAAAATCCTTGCAAGATTTCTGTTA